TCCGGTCACCACTGCAGTCGAGAGATGAGGAAGAGACAAACTGAGGCAGGGAATGGGCTGGATGTGTATGTTGTAACCCAGTTAAATAAAGACACACACTCAGTTCAGGTCTGAGAAAATTCAGACTTGCATTGCTCAGTGTGAAAAGGTAAGTAGCTCAGATTTCTAATCCGGTATTAGAAACTCACTGTGGCTGAGTCAGTCACACAGAGATCAAACTGGGCCTTGGGAGGGGCTCATCTCCACTCCAGATCTCATTACAATACCTGTTGGGTGAGCAGCTATGACTCAGCAAAGCTGCAGGTCCACTCCAGCAGTAGCAGGCCTTCGTGGCATGCATCTCCTTGAGATTTCATTAGTTAGACTGGAATGTTGCAAAAGGCGAATGACGGCACACTTTTAAAAAGGTAAACCTAGAGAAGCATTACTCAGCCACTTCTCCTCCCTCCATTGAATGGAGCCACAAATTGCTTGTAGCGCTGTCATCACCCCACTAACCACCTCCTGCCATTGCACAGCATGATTTGCAGTTGGCCTCGCTCAGCCTCACTAGTGAGTCATCCCTATGCCTGAGCTGGTGAGCACTGAGGTCATTCCCTGCAAGTCCTGTGATAGACCCATGCCAATCAACCAGAGCCCACAAGCAAGGGCCTAACCAGATGATCCCAAAGAAGGTTCCTAATCAAAGCTGCAACTTTAGTCAGTGGTGCTGCCTTGCTGGGAGAATTCCCGGCTGCCTGGTATTTCTGACAGACTGCTCCCACCTCAACTGGCTCACCCAGCTATTCTGACAATCACCCCATATATTGACATAGCATTGCAGGCCAATGTTAGGGTGTCACACAGTATTTATTCTGTGGCTCACTGCAGCTCCAGTGCAACATTCTCATCAGCCTCTCCCCCTCCTTCCTGCTACGGGTAACTAGAATGGATGTGGCTATTTCACCACTTTTCCCATCCTCCCATTGCTGAGAGGGCCAGGGTATGATAAGTATTTCTGCTCACTCCCTCCTGCTTAACCCTGTTCCTGGCTGCTCCAAAGGACAGAGACCACAGTAGCCCCAGACAACTTTTAGTGAGTAAATTTCATATATTAGAGAGAAAGAGAGAGTTTTAGCACCCTAGGTCCTTAGCTGGTGTACATTGAAGTAATTGTGCAGGCGTTGATTTACCTGAACTGAGGGTATGATCATGGATGTGCTTTTTTATCTCTCCCTCCCCCCACCCCATCCCCCATATTGTTGTTTTCTCTTCTTTTCAGTCTTTTGAGGCTCTGCCTTGGGCTTGAGGGTGCCAATTAATGCTCCCCAAGGGTAGCCCAGGTTGTGACGCACATCACCATCACTTGCCCATAGCGTGAGGAAGTCTTCTCTGTGGCTGCTGTGGATCAGCTCCCTGAAACCACCAGCCTCAGGCAACACAAGCACTGCCTTCCAGGCCTCCCTCTATCTGTACACATTAGCAATAGGCACACACCAACCCCTGAGTCCTTGGGAGCATTTCCTGTTGTGCCCAGCCCCTTGCCCACTGAATGCTCTCAGAATTACCAGGCCTGCTGCTCCCAGAAGAACAGCACACGCCAGCTTGTAAGATTGCACTCAGGATCACCACAGCACTTAGGAATGTTTCTAGTGAAAGCAAGAATAAGGTCATTATCAATGAACAGAGATTCAAGTAAGAGTGAGTAAGAAGACTGGAAACACATGGTTACATACATGCTTCCTAGAGACTAAAATTTACTAACAAGTTACCCTCCTGTCCAAAGAAGCTTATCTCATCCAGTTCTCTCCAGTGTTTTCAGCCAGGCCTGCATGAGACCCCTCTTCCAGGAAGTAGATGCAATTTACTTCTTCAGTGAAGGATGCCAGGGTGTCGTCTTTGTTCCCAAATACACTAGAGCAAACCTTTGATGTGCACCTCAAGATAGGGGGTCTCCCTTCCTCCGCCCCGCCCCCCCGGCCATGGGTGGCAGGTATCATAGTCTGGGGGAGGCTGTGCCTCCCCAAAGAGCCAGGTGTGTCCCCGCCCATGCTCTGTGCCTAGGCCCACTCCTGCTTCCCGCTCTGCAGCACCCCCCTGTGCGGTGGCCCCGGCTTGGGCTGGGGCCGCAACACCCGCCCTCCTGGTGCTCCAGAGCTGGGGGCACTAGCCCGGGGTGGGGACTGGTAGTTGCAGTGGGAGGGGTCTGGGCTCCAGTGAGGGGGGGCACGGAAGGGGTGGGGGCTCAGGTGGAAGGGGTGGGGCTGGGGGCTAGCATCCCCAAGCTGGTGGTTCACGGGTCACCCATGCCCCCCACATTGTTTGGTTCTTCCTGTTACTATTCTCTCTCTGAAATTTTTACAATCTGTATTATCATCCAGTTTAGTCTTGTGAGAGGAGACCCGTTGTCAGCCATACAATACTTAATATACATGTAAACATCCGGATAGATTAACATTTCTTGTCTGACAGAAAACCTATTTTTACACCTTTGCTGGTGACCAGTCCCTAGACAATGACTTTAAAAATGTAATTTTCTGTTTCTATACATAAATCCTTACACAACATCCGTACATACATTTTGCAATAATATTGATGACCACTGTGACACTGGCTTTTATTTGAGATCTCACATGACACTCTTTAGTCGACCTAGTAGCATCCAAAATGTGCCCGGTCATTAATTACATGATCACATACTATTTGTCCACAGGATCCCTGCCTCATTCAGTGAAAGCCAGTTATTCAATATTTTTTTCTCTCCTTCACATTCAGTGGGTGACCCCCGTCTTCATTTACTGCATATCAACAAACCCAGCACTGAATACACAATAATTAATCTCCTCATGGTCATACCTGTGGTGCTCTTGCCATAGCCTCTGAGTGCTTCACAAACATCAATGAATTTATCTTCTCAACACCCTTGTGAGAATAGATGCTGTTATTATCACCACTTTACAGGTGGGGAACTGAAATATAGAGAAATTAAGGCCAAGATGTCCACTAGTTTCCATGCACCATGGCTCTGAGCCAGGAAGGTATTTAGGCACCTAATGTCCATAATACCTTTGTGGGGCTTGGCCCAAGAGCCTGAATTTTCAGAGTATTTAGCATTTTTATAGGATTTTATATGTTCAGAGCTCAGCTTCGACTGTAGCTGTGAGTGCTTAGCAATTTTGCAAATCCAGCTCCAGGTGTCTCATGTTGGGCACCCAGAAATCGCTGAACATACAGTTAGTGGCTACTTGTGAAAAGTTTGGTTTAAGTGACTGCCCAGCATCACAGAGATAGAAGCAGAGAGAACCAAATTCTCCAAGGAGGCATTCAGCTGTCTTCACCATGAGATTATCCTTTCCCTTCTTGCTAGCCCCAGCCTTCTTCACTTCTGAACAAATGAATCAGGGGTCCAACAGTCTCTTTCACTATCCAATCCTGATTAATCCCCAGCAAAGGGCCCTCGTGTGCATTCAGTGAAACAGGTGCCCTATGGAAAAAATAGCATGTGATCATGTAATTAAAGCTTGTATCATAATGCATACACACAAGGGGGGCTGAATTAAGGTTACATGGGCAACCTTAGTTCTAGTATTTCCTCACTTTAGAGTGCTTGACTTGGCAACCTCAACATTCTTTTAAAGTAGTTATTGAATGTTGCAGTCTTTACCTTCCAATAGTGCTTTGTGGTCTCAGCCAAGATCAAGGCCTCATAGTTTTAGGCATTTTACAATGGGTATGTCTACACTTAAAAGGCTACAGCAGCAAAGCTGCACCACTGCAGTGGTGCTGCTGTAGTGCTTCAGTGTAGACACTACTTGCGCCCCAAAGAGCTTACCATCATTATAGACAAGACAAAGGCTGGGAGTAACTGTTGCTAGTGTCCCTTCAGTTTTTTGTTAAAAATTCATTACTTTTTCCAGTATTCCACAGATGTTTCTATCATGCCTGTCCCTAAATTAAAATGTTTATTACACTGTCTTGAGGAGTGTACTGAGCACTCAGAATCACTGTATCAGGAAGATGATCTATTTGGTATTTCTAATTTATATTTATAGTATTTACTCACTCTCAGGGGTGGGGGAAGCAAAACAAAATCATAGTTACTAGAGCTGGATGGAAAAAGGTAAGTATATCTTATGAAAAGAGTCAAAAGACATAGTTTTTCATTGTGTTTGAAATTTTTCATGAGGGTTTTAATTTTTTGTGAAAAAAATTGTTTAAATTTTTCCCCTCCCACTCAGGGTGGAGAATAACGTACTCTCTCACTTTTTTCCAGTTTTAAAACCCATAGCAATACTTTTTATACTTATAAAAAACACAGGAAGAGAAGGAAAGGCAAGTGTGTTCCTCCTCCCGTCCCCCCCATCAAAATGAAAATTTCAGAAAAAAAATTGCAACATTTATCAAAATGAAAAATTTCAACCAAAATGAATTATAATTAATAAAAATGTTCATGTCGGTATAAAAGGCATTTTACATCCAAAAAAATTTCATTTGAAAGTTTTGATCAGTTCTAGTAAGAACACAGTTTAATGGGAAAATCCACACCCTAGAGGATATCATATATCTTTCTGGCAGATTTGTGTAGCTTTATCATTGGAATACAAAACATTTAAATCCATTTAAACCCTACATAGAGGTCTTAAGTGACACACAGATTTTGTGCTGGTCCTCTGCACAGGATAAATTTCATCTAGAATGCATTTCATAACACAGCACTTTGAATCCCAAGTGCCTTTCAGGTCCAAGTGCTTGACATACACTAATGAATTGTGTCTTGCAACCACCCACTGAGATAGTGACGTACACTTATTCCCATTTTACAGATGGGAAAACTGAGGAATAGGCGGTCAGTAGCTCACCTGAGGTCACTCAACACGTCAGTGATGGCTGGGAATACAATACAGAAGTCCTGATTCCCAGACCCTTGCTTGAAACACTAGCAACAGTTCCACCTCTCTAGCTTGCCCTGTAAGATATTTCATATAGTACTTAACATATATGTGTGTTTGTTCTTTTTCTAGGTTGTTCAGGGTCTGGTAATTGGAAGACTAACTAGTCGCTTTACAGAGAGGACCCTGATCATGTTGAGTGTCTTAGTCTTCAGTGGAGTGGGCCTTGCTATGGTAAGACAATGGGTGGGATTTTTAAAAGAACCTTAGGCCTGGCCTACATTTAAAAGTTATGCAGGTATAAATATATTGGTGAGGGGTGGTTTTTTTTTTAAACCAATATAGCTATACAGGTAACAGCTATCGTGTAGATGCAGTTATATTAGTATGTTTAGTATGACTTATCTGCATAGTTATCCCCCTTCCCATACATGCATGGCTATTCTGACATGAAGCACCTTTTTACCAATATAACCATGCCCACAATAGAGAGGTTGTACTGCTTTAATGAAGTAAAGCAATATGGCTTTGCAGCATAGACAAACCCTTAGTGACTTAGGTCAAAAGGTTCACTGACTTTCAGTGAAACTTATGTTCCTAAAGGGCTTGTCTACACACAAGTTATACTCTCAACCTGTACTGGTGCCGTTAAATCAGTACAATCCCCTAGTGGATGCAGTTAGAGTGGTATAAAGGTGCTTCCTATATGGGAAAGGGAACAAGCTGTATTAGTATAAGAAAACTTCATACTGCTGGAAGGCCTCATCTACCCAACAGAGTTTACTGGCATCACACGCACTCACGCACCCACCCATCCCTGCTGTTTCATACAACTATGCCAGCAAAATCCCCAGTGTAAGAACTGTGCTGACAGAAGAGTGCTTCCATCAGCTTAGCTAATGCCATTCAAGGACATTACTGTGCTGGCAGAAATACTGTTGGCTTATGCTGTGTCTACACACTAGGAGACTATGCCAGTATAGGTATACCAACCAAGGCACTGTAATGTAGATAAGCCCTAACTGTGACCACACTAGAGGTTGTACTGGTATAACTCTTTTGGTAAACAAAAACAACAATAATGAAATCCCACAACACACCTAACCCAAAGAGTCATACCAGTACAAAACCATGTTTAGAACTGGCCTGAGTAACTTGATGCTTTTGAAAATCTTACCCTCAGTTTTTGCTTGGTTATGTTTCATGAACTTCTCTGAAAGTAAGTGAAAGTTACAGGAAAAAAACCTACACTTTGACAAAAGTTTGCTGGTGATATTAGGGGTTGGTCATTTTGAACAATCGAGTTTAGTGCCTTTTTGGAATGAAGCAGAGAACAATTTTTGTGTACCTCAGTCTTGAACTGCCAAGAACTGCCAAGACTCCAAGGTGCATGAAGTCTTGGACGAGGATGACAGAGAAAAATGACAATAGATTCAGCTGTTGGCCTTTAGAAATTCACTGAATAGTTTGGCCTTGAACCCTCTAACTAGCATTTGATTATTGTGTATGTTGCAATGAAATGGCTGTGTTACTGTGGCAAAAATGACAGGTCTTATTCACATACCTGTTGCACTGTAACCTTGTTTGTGGGCACACAGAGGTTAAGTGACTTTTCCAAGAGGACATATCAAATCCATGCCAGAGTAAGGAATAGTAACTCAGTTTTCCCGACTTCCAGACCCATACTCGAGCTACTAGGCAACACTGTGTCCCCTATACAAGTTAGAACACAGAGCTAGGAACCAGGAAGGTCTGGAGTTTTAATCTGAGAAAGTAAACCATCATTTCATTGGGTGACCTTGTGCCAAGTCACCTGATTGCTTTGTGCTGACCTGTGCTTCCACACAGAGGCTGCATGAACACCAAATTGGGTCAAACCAAAGGGGAGCAAATCACCTTTTCCCTGCTCAACCCAGATAGAATGGCATGTCTTAACAGCGCTTCCTAAACCCTACCAGCCAGAGAACTGAGGAATCAAAATCATGAGCACAATATGGGTCCTACATGGGGTTGCATAATGTGCTGCCATAAGTCCAGCATGCCATTCATCATCATCACACACACAGCTGGCCTGAAACAAGCCTAATGGATGAACTTCAATGGCACCGCCTGAGATGCAGAACCTGAGTGGAGCCCAATTACCCTCCTTAGTCTTGCTGTCTCAGGAGTGATGGAGCAGGTTCACTGAAACATTTTAGCATTCCTGTCAATGCTCCAGACTTTAATTACCTCAGAAGATTTAGAAATGAGCGAAGGCAGTAATGAGAACATCATGAGCCAAGCAAGATGGCATCTCTCATTCAGACTTTGTTTTGTGAATTTGTTAGATGAGGTGTCATTGAAAAGACTTGAAACCCATCCAAAGCAGTAGGAATAGGATGCATGTTTTTAGTAATAATAATGAGGAAGGATAAAAAGGGAGTAATTTAAAGAGCATAATTTAAGTTTCCTCTGTATAGATCACAGTGTTGTTGCAGAGCAGCACATATAACTGTGGATTAATGAGCCACGGTTGGAAGAAATCCAGCCCAAAGAAGTTCTTACTAACTTTGTGGGGGAACTCTGCTGTGAATTCACTTCAGAGCTGGCAGTTAGGACATGCCTAGGGGGCTTGGGGACATCCTGACGGCATGGGCCTGAGAGACAAGGGTCGGGAATGACTTCCTAGGACAACTATTCATAGGAAAATACAGCTGCAGTCCTTTCAACCCAGGAGAGCTTATTAAAAAGTCCTCTGTTCGAGGGGCTGCCAAGAAAACATCTGTGTGTGGGGTGGCTTTTCATAATGGAGGTCCCAACAGGGATGAGCCTTGTTGAGGCAGCTTGTTGCAGTGTCAGGGGGGCCCTGGCTGCCCTCAGCACTCAGATTACAGATCTGGGGTCATAAAATGTTTGACTTTAATTCCCCCTCCCTCCCTTTCAAGCATGAGCATTAAAAATAGATCAATTTAATTTTTTCCTCCTACTATGTACTTGCTATTGTTGGCCTGCCAATGGATGCCACGTCTGCAAAACAAAGCCTTTTCCTCAAGAGTGGAAGCAAGTAGAGAGAGCAGATGTTTGAAAAAGAAACCTAAACATCTCCCTGGAAGGGTTTTGGCATCTAGCACAGGAGGTGCTCGGTGGGACTTTTCATGGCCTCAGAGGATAATTTTGCAGCTTGAAAGGAGTCTAGATGATGGGTGCCTATTACCTGGGGGTTGAAGATGCAGTAGGGGTGGGTCAGCTGGGAGATGTGGGGAGTTTGAACAGCCGGGATGGGCAATCAGTGGTCAGAGGAGATGATGCTTCTCATTTGCAGATGTGGGAAGGCTTACGAGTTAACGGGGTCTGGGAGGGGCTGCAGAAAGGTTTGGCAGTCACATGAGGGATGTTTTCCTCTAGGGGGTGCATGTTTTTGACTTGCCCTGCCCCTTCTCTCCTGTTTCCCATCCATCTGCCTTTGAGCCCCCTCCTGGGACCCCAGGCACAACCCTCCCTATCTGAAAAATAAATTCCAGGTTTGGAAGTCATGTTCATACTGAGGCCTTCCAACCCTGATTCCTATAGGGCCTCAGCGGGGGGAAGCACTCTCCCCAGCACTCCCTCTGCTTTTAACGGTCATTCCCCACTTTTGTTGTTTGTTATTGAAGGGCCCGTCCAGCATTTATCGTCTAATTCAGGGAGACATGGTTCTGCTGCCTCTACACTGCCCAGGTGGCAGACAATTTCCAGAGGTCAGGGGAGTGTTAAAGCTGTGTTCTCACCTGACATCCCTGCATGAGCTCTAGAAGCATTTGCTCTAGCAAAGGAGCTCTTATCATCCATCCACTGGTCTGAATATTTTGTGCACCAAGGCTATATCCTTTAGTCCTGACCCAAAACTTAGGCAAAGGTCCCATGGAAATCAAGGCACTTATCTACCTTTGCCTCCAGACAGGGGTTTAATATATACATACTTTTTAATCCAGTCAGGAAAATGTTTTAAACCTCAGCATGAGCAGGTCATGAGTTAGGTATGTTTCTGGGCTTGTTTTCTCTCTGTAACCAAGAGACGCTGACTGGATTTTATGAAAGGAAAATCCATGCAGGATGATCCAATGAGTAAAACTTCCAGCTTAACAAAGGATATAAATGATCTCCAGATGACAGTAAAAGAAACACACCTCAAAAGCAAACATAGGCTAAGAGACTTCCAGTACAGAGCGAGGGAGGAGGGGCATTAATTTCCTTTCCATGATCCAAAGAAATCCATTCATTTGACCAGTCGGGATTGTGAATGAATTCAGAGCTGGTTTAGCCCCACTGCATAAGAAGTTTATTCTTGTACTTTTGTTTAAGTAATAAACTGCTGAAATGACGTCTCTGCTCAGAACATGTGCAATAAGAAAATTGTTACATTCACTAATTATGCTCATTAACGTGTCCTTATGACTGGGAGACCCATTCCAGATTACTGAATTCAGTGAATTCATTAGCAAGTATACTGACAAACAGGATTAGCGATCCCAAGGGTACAGTATTACATAATGTACTGTGTTCATTTATTTTGACAAGCGAAGTTTAGTTTTAATTATTTATGATGATGCATTATAATGGGTGCTGTAGCGTGTTTTGTATAAGTAATGAAGACTTAAAGAGACTGTACTACAGGCCCCTGCTATTAAATTTTTCCTGAGAGGTGCAGCAGACAGCCTGGGGGAAGGAGGTGGGGATTGTGGGAATTGTCACGCTTTGTGAATTAGCAAAGCAAAACTAGATGAGGTTCTACCTTAATGTACAGGTTATAGTTTCTTACATATACTGAATGTTTATAATAATGTATTAAACACAAATTTAACAGAAGTGATTTGAATGGGCTGGATCTTCTATTGGTGCTGCATCAGAGCTTCATCACTGTACACCAACCCGGAGTCTAGTGCACTATGTATTTATGAAAATCCAGGTAGGATTGTATCTCATCAGTGACGTTATCCTTTGTGCTGCCCAGGAGCTGGTTTTCTAATAGACGTGGTATATTTTGTTCTGTCACTTAGGCGCTGATGACCAACGTGTTCCATTATTGCATCATTGCTCTCCCCATGGTATTTGCACTCTGCACTATGGGCATCATTACGGACAGCATTCTCACCAAGTCCGTCCCTCCTTCTGACACTGGTAAGACTTGTGAAAAGACTAGATTTTTTTTTTAATTAGACGATCTTCCAGCTCAGACTCTGTGCCTTGTGACTTTTAAAGCCTGAGGTTTCAAGCTGTGAGCTGGCATGTGCATAAACGCTGCTGTACTGATGCTGTGCTGCCAACCACGACTTAGAGCGTTGTGGGAAGAATGCCGAGTTCCCAGCACATCCCATCAGGCATAATTTGACTAAGAACAAAGCGTAACCTGTATTAGTCCTGCATCTCTGCCAACCAATGAATGCTGGTCAGAAGAAGCAGGCCTAGACTTACAAGGAGGCCTGCAGTGAGCCAGTGACCAGCATCAACTGACAGCATAACAAGAGGCAGAATCCTGCAGCCTTTACTTAGACTAAAATCCACCTTGCTGCAGAGGAGCTGTGCAAAGCTTTACTTATGCTTACGGCTTAGGTGAATCACAAGGCCTTGTGTCAGCCCTCTGCACTTAGGACAGTGCTCCCAAAACTTTTTACCTCATTTCCCCCCTTACCCATGTCTGCGCCCTCCTCCCCTGGAGCAGGGTCATGGCTCTGGGAGGGGGGGGACGTGGACAGGAATAAGGGGGCTGAGGCTGGGGTCACAGCTGAGGGCGAGACCAGGAGCAGAGCCCCCTGAACATTCCTCTGCACCGCCCCTAGGTGGGCACGCCTCACAGTTTGGGGACCTCTGATTTAGGATCATAAGATTGAGATTAATAGATTTGGCCTTTGAAGAGGCTAGGATAAAAGGAAGAGCTACAATATAGGACAGCTAATGAGCTGAGTCATATTTTAAGGTTGTCACACTTCATAGCGCCCTTGCCACACTGCTGCAGTGTGGTTGTGCAGTTTTCATTTTACAGTAAGGCACATTTCTGAGAAACGTGCCATTCCCTGAGAAATCCTGTTCAAACAATTGCATGTAATTTATGTCGGAAATCAGGATGAGCAGGTACAGAATGAACAGAGGACTAGGTTGTACAGTACTGACCAAACACTCCATTTATGACTGTATGTTCCTCGTAGTCATTCAGGCTCTTGCTGCCTGCACTTCCACTTGCAAATACCCAGCCATATGGCTGGATCCAACAAGGAAAGGTCCACATAGCTTTCCTGTTACTCAGGTGCTTCTTTTCATGCAAAACCAGGCTATGGGACACCATGATAAACAATAAATGCTCAGTATTGAAACATGGTCGCATATTCTTGCAAATGAGGGGCCCTGTTCAGGCAGAGAGTCACCATAGACATGAAACTTAAAAGGAGTCATGATTTCTGTGTATTATAATAAAGGAAGTGTCTGGCCATCACCCTATTGGAGAGGAAGGGTCAAAGTCCTGAAAAAGTCTTCATCATCTGAATGTCCATGCCTTCCTTCAATGAAAGAGTTCTCCCGGGATGCAGTGCCATACATATTGTACCAACATCAGCATGACACTCTGAACCTTCCTTTCCAATATCGTAGTGGGCAACTGAGAGGCTGCTAAGACCAGCAGACTCCTGGGTTTTGCCAAGCAACCTTATTGTCCTATCTACCATGGACAAAACAAAAGACTTCTGCCTGACAGCTTCACTGTTCTATGTGAAGAGACAGCGAAACTGCTGATGGTTACCCACAGAGCCAGCCACCATAATCCATACATAGCAGCTACAGCTTTGGGTTGCAGCTGGTTATAATAATTGTGCTTAAATTATTTTGTGATGTTTCCATGTGCTGTTAAGAGTTGCTGCATTTTGCCATAGAAGAGGCTGTGGTTCAATGGTGGGCATGTATATTTATTTCCTTCAGATGTGGCCAGAAAATGTATGCACGCATCTGTGCTGCCACAGCAATGTTCTGGTGAGCCTTGCTTAGCCCCCACCATCTCTGTCCAAATTATTCTTGCTAGAAGTAGAGCGTCCTTTTGTGTGGAATGGGGCATATTAAGATGAGTTAGTACCTATCTGCAGGTGATGCTTCTGCTCTCTTAAGCCCTGCCCGCATGGCTCCACTCCACAAATATCTGTGGAGTTGTTCTCTTTTGAGAGATCCATAACTGGACCAGTCAGATTCTATCCTGCATTCCCCATTCCGGCTGCAGCTTTATGGGCAAGTGTCTATACAGAGCCCAGTTGAAATTTAACTCAAAGTTTGTACAGTCTGTCAAAGGTTGTAAAGCACTTTGGGATTTTTCTGGATGACAATGTCCCATTGTTAGCCTGATTAATTTAAGGCTGAAATCTATCCCGCATACATTGTGAGCATTTAGAGCCATTGAATCTCGGTTAGAATTTAATTTGTTTGCTAAAACGTATTTAGTTCACACTGAGCTAAGGACAGAACTTTCCAGGACTCGGTTCTGTGCGAATGAAAACCAGGAGTTTCAAGTCTTCAAAAAATGTTTGAGGGAGGGCAGTGGAGGAGGGGCAGAAATGGCATTTAAACATAGAGCAAATCTGGAAATCATCCAGACTGCTCTCAAAAGGCTTTTGTGAAGAAAAATGGAGCATGCTCCTCTTTCAAAGCCCAGAGGCTAACTTCAGTCACAAGTGAGCATGAGTTTAGTGGCCTCTTCGTAGTCCTTGTTTGTTTGCGTACATTATTAAGTCACCTCCCATCCCCAATTCAGCAAGATTGGCAGTCTCTGCTGAAGGACAGTGGAGAGGGTGGTACTGCAACTTAGGACAAAGGTGCACTTGCAATGCAAAGGTTGTATGGAGCCCAGAACTAGCACATTGGGGAGTGTTGCAAGAAAAGATTGTGTGCATTTGGAGAGCTGTGCATGGGCCCAGGATTACAATGGCAGGGGATTGTAGCAGGTCAGCATTGAGGTGCGTTGGCAGAGTTGTGTTTGGGCTCAAAACTAGATTGGTAGGAGGTGCTGCTGCAGGTCAGGATTGCAGTTCTTTAGCAAAAGCATGAGGAGGTCAGGGTAAAACTTGTACAGCCTGATACTAAAGACAAGTGCTGAGAGTCATTCACTTTCTCAAGTAGGATTTTGTTTTTAAAACTTTACATCAAGGCAGAGGCAACAGTGAAATCAAGAGTGCCTGACCTAGCAGAGCAATTTCAGTGTGTAAGCTGCTTCTTTGGACTACCTCTGTAATGTAGTATGGGTGTGTTCCGGAGAAACAATGTTACTAAAATGTCTGCCATCCATTTCTGGTCATGGGTGGCAGCATACAGTAGCCGTTCCACCCACATTCCAGATAAAACTATTGTCCCAACTGTACAAATGTACAATTTACGCTACAAATTAGTCATTTCTAGTTGCATTTGTTAATAAATCTCTGCCTTTTAATAGCTCTTAAGCTTGATGTGATATTGTGACATTAAAGCTTTTAACATCAAAAACACAGGAAGTGGCATTAGCCTTGAAGATTTTTAGTCAATTTAAAGAACACTCACGTTCACAAAATTGTTCTATTCGCCAGTTCAGCTTGAGGAACTCCCTTTGGAATTGTGTCTGTCTTGAGTCTCTCTGAAGGAATCTTCTGAAGATCTTTTCATTAAGGTCCCTATCCAGTATTGTCTGGGTCAGTTGTAGTCTTTCCATTGATCTTAATAAGCGCTGGGTCAGGCCTTTATGATAAAGAGGGGATTAGCCCCAGATTAGAGTGCCCCTCTTATGAAAGACCTGGAAGACTGGATAGAAGTTAGTGGAAGCCGGTTGTCCAGCGAGCATTTTCTTTTCCACTGTCACAAAACATTAAAGCGTCCCTGCCATCCCAAAAAGGCTTGTCTACACTGGCAATTAACAATGCTGCAACTTTCTCACTCAGGGGTGTGAAAAAACACCCTCCTGAGCACAGCAAATTGCAGTGCTGTAAAGCGCCAGCGTAAACAATGCCCCAGCACTGGGAGCTGCACCACGACCACACAAGGCATGTTAAAGTGCTGCCGCGGCAGCGCTTTAGCGTTGCCAGTGTAGACTAGCCCTATAGTCCCACGCTGCAAAATTCAAACTGCCTAAAGATCAGAGGTGGTTCATACTGGGGGGTCTAATTTGGATCTAGCTGGTTCTTTAGGAAACAGAAATTATCTTTCAGCAAAATAAACCTTTCAGAGGTGCAGACCTGGAGCCTGGGCCTGTTTAGAGGATGGATATCTGATTAAACATACACACACAACCCACCCACACACTACAAAGTGCCAGCTCAACTGTTGGGAGCCAGTTTGGCTGCTGTATATAGTAATTAGTTTAGTTCAAATGCCTGGAGGCGGGGGGAAATTGTAGAACCTGCCCAGAAAGCTTGGTGGCTGTGTGATTGCTCCCACTGGGGAGAGGTCAATTTTGGGGATCCACCCAGCTCACTGATGGGGAGCAGTACCCAGAAGATCTGGCAGAAAGATTTTTCCAACACACACACACACACACACATATATATATATATATTACTCCCCCTCCTACTGGCTCCCTTCTCAAACTAGCATTCTGAATAGAAGTACAGCAGGCTTAAATTTGCATTAGACTGAGGACTGGTCAGATTTCCTCTAATTCACACTCCCCTAAAGATTTTTTGACTCAGTTCTGTTCCAGTTACATGGTCCTCCATCACTTTATAACTAGTAGAATCAATAGTGCATTTGTGCTCCCATTTAACTAGGCAGGCCTCCATGCATGGTGCCATACCTGACAGCAGGATCTTTATGTAAAGTCAAAATGCCTACATCCAGAGTTCTCTCACCTGTGCAAGCAGTGAAACAATGATATCAATATTTAAAATGGGCCCAAAACAAACAAACAAACAAACAAACAAAAAACACCCCACTTTGTGACCAAAGTCTAAGCTTATCTCCCTTCTCCTTCCCTGCTGTCCTGTTCTAAGACTTTTCATTTTGGTGATATGCTGGTTTTCCTATATGAATAGCAGAATAACATGCCTGCACCATACCACACGTGCTATAATATTCCATGTCCATTCATCTGCATGCACACATGCAAGTGGCCCTGTGTTGCCAACTAGTAAGTGCTTTCTCATGGTCTGTGGCTCCTGCTCCCTTTAAGCTCCCAGCATGGCACAAGAATCTGGTGGAGCTAGATAATTGTATCCAGCATGTGTTCATTCATATAGAAGCAATCTTTATTTGTGAGGAGGTTTTTCTAGGGCATCATCTGTTCTGTTGAAAAAGACTAGTTAGAGCCCAGCCTTGCAGAGCCAAGTTGCTGTACTGCAAAGCCTTAACATCCTGAGCATGAGGACAAACTGTAATAGGTTGTTTTAGTAAGGTGGAAATGCACTGGTAGCTGCCTCATCTAATTATTGTATTAGAAAAGTCTGATCTTCCAAGGTTTGCAAGAGAGAGTACTAAATTACCACACCCTCAATGAAATAAATTTTCCCAGTTGCAAGCCGAATTAAGAGGACTATTTCCAGAATCAGAGCCTAGCTCCCAGTATTGGGCACTGAATTCTTTCTTGAACAGTGCAGAATCTGATTGCCCTTTACTATAGTATTCCTGTTGTGTGAACACTGCAGTGGAGAATTGAGATGGTTCACAGTGGAAGTTGTACACTTCTGGACACACAGGGTCCATGTAAGCTATGTCTGTTCAACAAATTATCATTAAACCTTTGTAATTAGAATTAATTGGTTACTTATGTATGCACTTTTTCTCTCCCCTCTTCTGTAGGTGCCATGCTTGGGATATGTGCATCTGTTCCTCCCCTGACACGGACAGTGGGCCCAACACTAGGTGGAATTTTGTACAAGATGTTTGGAGTCTCAGCCTTTGGTTATTTGCAACTGGTTGTCAATATAGCTCTGTTTTTGTATATTTTTAAGAATAAAGTACCCCAGAATGAGGAGAAAGTTCAGTAATCCAGGCTACGTGTAAATCTACTTTATCCACAAAAACTAAAATGTGCAATGTTTATATATCAGGACTTTTACCTCTATCACCCCAGATTGAAAATAAAAGTAGCTTTAAGCCAACACTTTGCATTTCAGCAGCATATACACTAACTTTTGCTATTGGAGCGGTTTACAAAGCCTTAGTATAGTTTGCAGACATCTGGGCTCAACACTATTACAAGAGATAGGACTCCATCCTCAGCTGATGTAAATCAGCATAGTTCCATTGAAGTCAATGAACCCAGTCAGGATGCAGCCCTCCCTCTTTAGTAGTAAAGGGGAGGCACTGACTAGCTCAGGTTGTTTTAACAGTGCCTAGCACAATGAAGCTCAGATCCCCATTTAGGCCTCTGAGCAATACAACATTGAGTGCTAATAGTTACAGAAGTTCCAGCAACTGCATTTCAGCTACCCCCCACTTACAGGGGTGGGTCTATCATCTCTTACACTGTAGAATGGAAGTAAAGGCACATCATCCAGATTTTTCAGACATGGTGTCCTAAAGTTAGCTACCTGAATCCATATTTAAGTCATGCTTTAACCCCACCTGGAAAAAAAAGAAACTCAGACCTCTTTAGGAGAGTGTTCCAGGCTGCAGTACAGGTAATTGAAAAACCTCTATGTTCAGGAAACCATGGAAACTAAGTACTGTATCCTTCTGCTTTAATGCACAAACCCCTCAATGCAGAGCATTTCTTCCCACCAGCCATACATAGGGAATCAGAACCAAGACTTTCTTCAAGATGGTCCAAGCAACAGCTAGCTGAAACCTATTTCATTCTGTGGGAAAAAAGCAGCTAGTCCATAACTTACAAAGCCTCATTAGTAATTTATAGCCATGGCATTTCCCAGTTCTTGGATGAGCAAGCACTTCCCTTTTGAGCCACACCCTTGACTAGCTCCTTATTAGAACTATGCTTTAAATCAGCCCTTAATTAACCCTCCTACATGCTGTTCTCAGTATAATCTTTGTAGTTTCCACCAATACTCTCTGGTCTCCCTCAAGCAAGACTCTGTGGAAGTCAGTGGGAACTTTACCCTATTAAGGATTTCAGTTTCAGACCATTCGTAAGAAACACTACACAGTCTTGCAACTCCATTTCACTGCCAAATGCATTTTTCCTTATACTTCCCCTTTCTAGCTGTAGAGAAAGGATAGCTGTATGTTGCAGAATTACTCTCAAGGAAATGTAGATTAATTAGCAATAAGTCTCAAAACCTGATTTTAATAAGCACAGTACCAAGAAGTTCAGCTATTTCACCAACCCCTTGGCTCTGCAAAGTGTCCTAAGAAGAAGCTGATAAGATGTATAGCACTTCCTGCCTCTGGTTAGGCTGGAAACCCCTTGAGAACAGCCCCTCCCATTCAGCATGGCTAATCCTGGCTGGATCTAGAAACTGCAAAGATGCAGGGAGATGTGAAACAGGGAACTTGTTATATAAACCTTACCAAGCCCCTCAGATTCTATATGTTGGTCTTTATTTTATTCTGAACCAGTTCAACTATCCCTCTTCTTCTGGACTAAGCAAGCAGGGGGTATTAGAGGAAGCATTCTGGAAGGCACTTTTATTCTGTAACTGGTGACTGCAGGGGTTCTTGCACCTTCCTCAGACTCAACTAATCCTGACTATTGAATTCTGGATTAGAAGGACCAGTGGTCTGATGCATCTAAATTAGGAATTGCTATACTGTAACTGATTTTCTGCTTGGAGATTAATTGAAGCAGGCCCTTTCCTACAGACATATCAGCTTTCTGTTATCAAAGCACATTAGTATTTTTATTAACAAAATAAAGTGTTTGGATAGATTAGTGTAGCCCTATTTACAGATGGTGTCTATGAACTATTATTCTGCAACCAGCACTAAAAAACATACTGCACTACAGTGTATAGTAATAAAATGTGAACATTTCAAGTAATTTATTTGGAATGGACACATTAATGCAAAAGCAACATTAAGACATCTGCTTAAAGACATTCATCAAAATAAATACAAATATAGATACCACAAATAATTTAAATTGGGTTTGTTTTGCACCAATGGGCGCTGAATATTCTTTGCATCTCATAAATAGATAAGAGTAGTTTGCAAAGCTGTGCCACTTAGAAACTTCTTGAAGCTTCACCAGAAGTCCGTTTGAAAGAGTCTTTGGTTTTTAAAATGCATCTCAGGCGAAGCTCAGGGCTCTTTGCTCAGCAGCCTCAGACTTGGAGGAAACCCAACTGTTCCCAGCCACCTTCTTTGCTTTCCTTCATTGGTACCTTGTCCCATTTCAGTCCAAGTCACTTGATCTGGTTTATCATCCAGCAGTGCATTCTAAAAAGAGCAACAGAAAATAAGTCAGAAGTGGAACAATACAGCAGTATTCTTGTGGGGTAGGAGCCTAAGGGAGTTTGGCACTCATATTTAAAAATCCCAGCCTATATACAGAGTTCCTTAAAGAAGCCCCCATTAAGTGTCTGTCCACATTTCCTCAACTAAGTGGCATAATTATTAAATTGCTCTTGCTAGTTAGTAACCATGCCCAGCATCACCCAGAGATCCCTGCTAGGTAACACTCACAAATGGGCAAAAAGCTCAGCCTCCAAAATGGAGTGCCAAGTCTACAACTCTTCAGCGTTCTCTGCTGGCCACAATGGCTTAAGGAGCAGCATTGGTGCCAGTCTAAAGGCTAGTATTACTTTCCAGTCAAAAGCTGCAGCATGTAAAGTCCATGCCCACTGCTTGAATTATGAGGGGGGTGATTAATGAAAGCCTGAAACAGGCAAACAGCCCACCCCGTGCTTTGAATAAGACAGAAGTGAGATAGCCCCTCAAAGTAGTAAGAGGGCCTGGACCCTCAAAGCCCCCTCCCCAATTCAAGCATTAAAACCCAAATCCGGTGCTGCTAAGTGCCTCGAACACATGATGGGAGAGTCTTCCCAGGGAGAACCAGCCAGTGTCAGACCCGCAGAAGGAGGTCCCCAGCCCAAGTGAGAGAGTAGAGGAAGGCAACATCCCAACAGCAGTTTGATTTTCATAAGAAACCAAAGGGATATTGGTGCTTTCCGGGAATCATTAAATTGCACTGCCCAGCAGGGGCCGCTGTGGCGCCAAGTCCATTCAACCCCTCCAGTACGGGCCGGCTCTGCTAATTCAATCAGTGCATCTGCGTGCAGGCACCAGGGCTACGGTTTTAGCCAATGCAAAAGTGGGGGGGTTAAGCCTAAAGCCAAGGGGTGCCGGTTCAGTCCGAGTGCTACGGGCAGAGCCGGCCGATCCCAGGGAGATGTGGAGTCCCCGTGGGAGTCCCAGTGAAAAGGCAGCAAGAGCCACGTGCTCTCAGCCGCTGTTTAAAGCCCGGGAGCGGCGCCGGTCTGGAACTGGGGGAAGAAATGCCTCCCGCGACACTAAACAGACGCCGAGCGCGTTGCAAGCTCGCTTGCCTGTGATCTCTGGTCTGCAGCCGTGAAGCTCAATGGAGACGGGCTAAGGCGCAGCGCCGCAGCCCACGCGCGTCTTTTGCGAGCCCAGCGGAGCCTTGGGGGCGCGCTCGGCTCCCCTCGGCCCGCGCTGGCAGGGTGAGGGGCGCTCCCCGCCCCCCCGGCTCACCTTTCGCCGGACCTCCTCCCGGTCCTGCCGCCCCGCGGGCTGCTCAGGGCGCCCGGGCCAGGCGCCGCTCCGGGCTGCCCGCCGCCTGCTCCAGCTCCTGGCGGCTCTTGAAGTCCTGGATGGCCCGCTTGTTCTGGAAGTCGATGAGCGCCATGGTGATGGAGGCGTTCCAGCAGCTCTGGTCCGGGCAGCGGAAGTCGATCTCCTTGCGGTCCGTGGTGACGATGGTGAAGTAGATGTACTTGCCCGTGCGCTCCACGCAGTCCACCTTGAGGATGGAGTGGAAGCCCAGCTCCTTGCCCCGGGCGCGCTTGTGCCCGTCCGGGAAGAGGCTCAGGCTGTCCTTGGTCAGCACCACCAGCTTCTTCTTCCAGAACTGGAAGAGGCTGTCGCTGCGCTTCTCCAGCTCGCCCTCCCGGATCACCTCGCCCGACATCTTCATCCTCCGCTCCGGGCTCCTTCTGCGGCGCGGCGGTGAACTCTGCAGCTGCTCCTGCGCTTTCTCCAGCTGCAATGGGCGAAGGGCGCTGGATGGGGAACAATTTATTGCGGTGAGTCAGCGCCTCGCTCTTCCGGTGCCCCTCCTTCCCCAGCCCTGCTGTCTCCCACCCCCGGCCTCCCCTGCCCGGCCCTGTCCCTCCCCGAGCCGCGCCTGAGTATCCGGTACCTCCTCCCCCACTGGCCCCAGGCTCCGCCTGCACCCCACCCCCCTCCAGCTCCAAGCCGGTTCATCTCACACCGTCTCTTGCATCCCCGCCCCCTCCCACTTCAGCCTCTTTCATGCCCCCCTCTCCTTTCCACCCCTGTTCCCTGCCTGGCCTCCATGAGTCCCCAGCCTGCCTCTCTACAGCTCTCCCTCTGCTCCACTCCCTCGCCTATCCCCCCATTCCTTCTGCTTGTGCCCTTCCCCACGCCTCCCATCTGTTTCAGGTCTCCCCTACTTCCCTCTCTCCCCCCCCCCCCCGAGTTGCCAGTCCTCCAGGATAGTCCTGGAGTCTCTAGGAATTAAAGATTAATCTTTAATTCAAGATTGTAATGTGATGAAACCTCCAGGAATACATCCAACCACACTTGGCAACCCGCCCCAAGCCTCTTCTCCCTTACTGTGTCTCTTCCCCCCTCCCCATCCCCTCTATCTACCTAGCCCCTCACCTGTCTCCTTTCTCTTCCTCTATTCCCCTTGCCTGCCCCCAAGCAGTGACACTGCTCAGGAATGCAGTTGCTGCCCATCCCATAGCGTGACTCAGCCCCGCAGCGGCCTTTGGAACTTTCTCAAGGCTTCAAGCCACTTCCAGGCTGGGCTGAGTGCTCAGGCCGGATGCTGGGGGATGGGGAGGCCCCTTAACCCTAAAAGTCACCAGACCGGCTCTCTGTCCTGCTGGAAACCTGTGGGCTGAGGTTCCTGGTTTTTGTCCTCTTGACAGCCAGGTATCTGGGACCCTCCCCAGCTCGCATGCCAGGAGAGACAAAAGGAGAACGGCCCTAGGCTACTTCTGCCTTTCCTGGCCATTAAATGTACGAACACCCCCAACCCCCTCATATGTCCAGGGCAGCCCTCCACTCACCTACCTAACCTATTTCATCTCTCTGCATTTCTGAAGTGCCCATCACCATGCTATGTAGGCTTCCTCTATTAAGCTACATTAAAGAATGCAGGACACTTTTTCACATTGGAAGCTCTTATCTCCTACTACAGCACTTTGATCATTCAAGTCCCGGATCCTGTAATTCATCATACTGGAAAAGTCTGCTGAACTCTGAATGAAACTCTCCCAGTCTACCCACGCACAATGAATTGCAGGATGAAGGCTATAGATCAGCTTTTGTGCTGATAGTTTGGGAAGAGGTGTTTGTCGTTTCCCCCCCCCCCCCCCGTTCATGTGAAATTTGCTTTTGGCAGGTGTTTCTGAGGGCAAATTCAGTAGTTTTTAGAACAAATTGCATTTTAAACTATAAAAACAAACAATTTCTTTACAATTAGGAAGGTGAGTTAAGATGTAGTACCTAAATGATAGGGTGATGGGTGCATCAGAAATGCAGAGTAGAGGGGTCCAAAAAAAGGAAATGTTTTGTTTATTTTGACCCCCGCCCCAACCAAAAAAAAATCGAATTGTCCGTTTCCTATTGAAATGTCCATCCTTTGGAAATTTTCCATCTTCTAGCAGGCAGAAGTTGGTAAAATACCTTGACCGTGAACAGTTGTGTAAATGCCAAGTATTAATTATATCATTACTTATTAAGATATTCTGAGAGACCTGATTAAAAGGGACATTGTCAAGGCTAAAATCTAGGGGTTAGATGGAGGCAGAAGGGAAGGGAGCAGTACTCTCCCACACACCACTTACAAAATATGCTGCACTCCTATGAATGAGATGCTGCTTAAAGTAGAATATGCACAGGTTTGTATAATTTTTGGTGGTGCCCAGATGGGTCCAAGTCCTGCCCCCGCCCCCTCCACACACACACATACCTGACTAAGGCTCTGGGAGGGGGTTTGGGTGCAGGAGCGGTGCAGACTCTGGGAGGGGGTTTGGGTGTGGGCTCTGGGCTGGACCAGGTGGTTAGGGTGCAGGAGAGGGGTGGGTGGGCTCTAGGAGGGAGTTTGGGTGCAGGACAGGGTTCAGGCTCTAGGAGGGAGTTTGGGTGTGGGATCTGGGTGGGGGTTGGGATGCTGGAGGGAATGCGGGGGGCTGGTTCTCGGGGAGAGTTTGGGTGTGGGCTCTGGGCTGGAGCAGGGGGTTGGGACGTGGGAGAGGGTGAGGGGTGTGATGCTTACTTTGAGTGGCTCCCGAAAGCGACCCACACGCCCCTCTGGCAGCAGCTCCTAGGTGGGGGGGGGCGGGGGGTCTCCGCATGCCGCTGCCCACAGGCACCGCCCCTGCAGCTCCCATTGGCTGTGGAGCTGCAGAGTCGACGCTTGGGGCAGGGAGACACCCGCCCCCCTCCCCCCCCCAGGCCATAGGGTCATTCTGGCTGTTTCCGGGAGTGGCACAGAGCGAGGCTGGGCAGGAAGCTGCCTTAGCCCCACTGCGCTGCTGGCGGTGGCTCCCAGGCCCTTTTAAATCGCCTGGGGGCAGCAGTTGGGGACGGGAGATGCTCCGAGGGAGGCGCACGGGGGGCAGCAGGCAGGGCCGGGGGGAGAGACCCAGCTACGAATGTTGATGGTCCTGAATATTCCTGGAGCGCAGGCACCACGGGCCCATATAACTCGTGCCACTCCTGAATATGCAGATGTTCAAAATATGATTACTGCTGCTTGGTTCCACTGCACTCCTTGAACTGGGCTTTCCTGCGGTGGGATTGGAATGTACTCCACCCCGGAGCTCTGCTAGGCTCTTTGAGCTTGGAGCCTTCTCAGCTGGGGAAACAAAATAAGTGGTGGTATAGCACCAAAAGGAGAAGTCACTAACAGTAAATTGTGCAGGTCTGTGAGCTTCCCTCTTCTTTCTTAGGCCTGGTTTAGGTACAGATTTTATACCAGTAGAACTATGTTGGTTAGGGGGTGTGATTGTTGATTTAAAAAAAAAAGTTCTATCGTTACCACTCCTCGTGCGGACATAGTTATATGGGATAGAGATGCCTGACACAGTACAGCTTATTCTCCTGCCTGTGTGGTTCTACGCAGTGGTTCTCAAACTTTTGTACTGGTGATCCCTTTCACATACCAAGCCTCTGAATGCGACCCCCCCCCTCTTATAAATTAAAAACACTTTTTATATTCAACACCATTATAAATGCTGGAGTGCCACCCCTCCCCCCCATGTAATAACCTCATGACCCCCTGAGGGGTCCCGACCCCCAGTTTGAGAACCCCTGCTCTACAGTATAGCGATAGCAGTATAAAGCACCTTTATACTGATATAACTGTCTGTGCTGCAAGGAGGGTGGGTTGCACCACTTTAGTGTAGTTAAACCAGTATACCTTTTGTATGCAGATAAACCCTTAAATGAGGAATGAAATTTGTTAACAATGTGGAGAGTGAATTACCATCATTGGGGATGTGAGTTACCACCTCACTGAGATTCCTAGATTATAAAGTCAGAAAGGACCCTTGTGATTATCTAGTCTGACCTCCTACATAACACAGGCCAGGGCCTGCCTGAATTAATTCCTGGTTGATGAATGGGGCAGCTCATACCTCAGAGCTAGTATTTCAGACTCTCTGCCAACATACCAGCTCTTTTGAGGTTTCTTTGCAACCCTAAAATCTAGAGATTTAGGTTTTTGTTTTTGGTTTGTTTGTTTTTTTAAATGAAAGCTAGCGATCTGGAGAAAAAGATGATAATAGATCCATTGATACAACATGGCTTATGGGCCTGTTGTGGCTGTTTCCAAGCCCTGGCTAAAATTTGACATGGCTAAACTTAAATGGCAGTAAAATATGTAACATTTTTTCTTTCATATTATATAAGCAATAGGGAGAAGGATTTGGAGGGTTTTACACAGCAGACTTTTCCCCCGCTCCCAGAAAAACAAACAAACAAAAAAACCCACCTAAAACATAGAACTTGGTTCAGTCATTGCAATAGGGAATCAACATAATTTGTTCTGACTTCATGAACAGACCTGTATATTTCTTTCCCACTACATTGGCCACCTTCATCACTTTATGTGGTACAAAAAAGTAGAGCAGGCAAGCACAACAGTGAGGAAGTGTGTATGTGCTACTAATGGAAAGCACAAGAAGTCTTAAACTGACCCAAGATCCTTATCCTCCTCTCACTCATTGGGACCAGTTATTCTAACAGATGGAACAAACATTTACACAAAAACCTAAGGCACAAATGGCAGTGTGTGAGTGATGACAAGTGATGCGTTAGCAATTGCAGTTCTGACTTTCCTCCATTTGTTTGGCTGGTAGGTTTTTCATTTAGACACTTAGTGTTACTTTAGTGTTTGCTTATTTGTTTTCCTTAATGTAATATTTATTTAAATTCCTTAATTGTTAGTATTATTTATCCTAACTAACAGCTCCCTTCTCTTAACATTAATAGGACATCAAACGGCATGCCAGTAGTCCTCCATTACACAATAGGCTTTCATGGTCTTTGATCCATAATCTGTCATTTGATCAGTGACTGTTTTAAATTAAATGTAAAAGATTTTGCATATTAAAATAAAAGCATATAATGCACTGAATTAATGCTTTAGCTATCATATGAATGGGCCAATGTCAGACAATGTCTGGACCTGTTGCATTTCCCAAATCCTGCTGAAATCCAATCAATGCTACATATAACTGGGATCTACTGCACACAATCTGTCACTGGCTGCATGTGACTGCTTACCAAAAGACTTTTCACAAAATACAAACATGCTTAGGTTTTGTTACCTGCTTCACCTTTACATTTTAAACAATGCCATAAACGGTAAATCAAAGTTAAGCATAGGATTTTCCATAGTGAGGGAATTTCCCATTTGGGGTGCTCAGCACCTCGAAGAGGCCCCAATTCAGGAAAGCACTTAAGCAAATGTGTTTACAGTTAAGCATGTGCTTAAGTTCCACTGAAGACAATGGGGTGTACCAAATATCACTGCTTCCCTGAAGTGGGGCCAGGATCAAGGTGAAAATTTGAAACAAGCACTTTATAGTTGCTTCAGATATGCTGTTTCAGAAATAATGTTTAATCAGTTATGCAGCCTGCACAGCTTTTCTTTCCACACATACCCCCTAGCTTTTTGAATGAGCTATATTTCTTTACATTTTTAGAGTAAATGCTTTCAGGGTTAGTTAAAAAAGTGAATGTGTCCTGTGTGACTTCTGGTTCCACTGAATACGGCAAAACTCTCATTGATTCAGTGGGGCCAGGATTTCACCTTAAGCATCCACTTGTTGCAGCTACCAAACCCTTTCCTATGCAAGTGAACTTCCCAAAGTGAATGCCAGCTTCTTTTTGATGTCTGTAGTAAAATTCACTTCTGATTTTGTGCTGGTCCCTGACACAACGCGACTTCTAAGGCCTCTCAATAGAATAGCAGGAGTTAAATGGTGCTTGTGCTGTCCCTCTGCAGAGGGGTGAATTTCACCCCAGCGGTGCTGATTCTTCTACCTTTATTCAAGTGAGTAGTCCCTTACTACGCAAATAGTTCCACTGATTTTAAACATGAGTAAGGGCAGCACAATCAGACCCACAATAGGGAATACGTGTCCGCAGCATCCGCTGCACATCAATACATGTTTTAGCAGATATTCATTCTGTCCCTGAAATCAAATGTTACAGTGCTTCTGGCTTCAAAGGTGAAACGTCTTTCA